CCTAAACTCTAAACCATAATTTATCAAGGATTAGATTGTGCCTTAAAACAAAAGTTACCTTTAAAATATGCTATTGTTTCCATCATAATTGGGGATTGATAATCGATGAATGGCTAGAAGTGAGATTTATGTTTCATTTTAAAATGTAAAAATTAATTTAAATTAAAATATGTCAAAATCATATCTTATTTTGAATTTTTTTTTATTTTATGAATAATATAAAGTACAATAAATGATGTAGCATCTAATGATAAATATCTAATATAACTAAATAAAAAGTATTGTGATAGTTTAAAATGGCAGGTTTGATAAGGAAAAAATCTTGAAATTTGAATTTCACCAAACAACATAAATTTTGCCCTTATCACGCAGAGTGGTAGAACAATTGTATTTCTAATGTATTTTCTCATATGGTAGATCTTGCTGCAACTATAACCTTTTCGATCCTCTAAGTAGTACCTGCACTCCCTTAGGTATTTATTCCTCATCATTATTCGAGGGGTCCATCATGGAAGTCTGATTGCATTTGGGATAAGAATGATCTATAGACGCAGTGAAAAGAGTATCACAAGGAATGGTGTTTGCGTCCATTTGAAAAATTGGTGAAAAACCTATCGAAAACCCTAGGAAGTCATACATACGACTAGGAATGCATTTGATTTGAGTTGAACTTGAGTAATGCACTATTCGAACTTGATTCGAGATAAAATAACTGAACTCGAGCTTGTCGAACTTTTAGAAGTCAAGCTTGAGCTCAATCTTAACTTTAGTTTACCTTACTCAAGTTCAAACTCGATCTCGAATTTAATTAAATCTAATCGAGTCAAATCAAACTCAATCAAGCATATTTGAGTGTAATCGAGTTTAATCGAGCCTGTTCAAGTTTAATCAAGCTTACGTAATAAAAATTAATAATTTACATATAATTTTAAACAAAGTATTGACATTTCATAATAATAAAAATAAAAAATTAAAATATATATGATAAAAAGTTTGATTAGGCTCGTCAAGTCTTCGAATACAAAATATTGGAACTTAAGCTAGGCTTGAAAGTTCAAATGAATAGTTTGAATTTGATCAATACGAGCTCGAGTTGAATTGTTGATCGAGTAGTTCGTGAGTTCGAGTCCAGCTATTTAATTTAGCATCACCCCTAGATACAAGCAAGATCCTCGTTGAACTCATTATTGGGCAGAAATAACATATGTGACATAATAGAGGGCGATCCAGCATCTGCCATATAGTCGAATGTGGGATGAGGATAGATTTTACAAGGAAATGACCTACGAAGGTAGGAACACATGGAGGTGTGGAGAAAACTCTAAAATGGAGAAATTAAGTGACAACAGCAAGATCGTATCCGACATGTGCTGAAATTTGAATATCTTGTATAACATGCATTTCATCATCACGTAATGAGGTGCCCCTCCTCAGATATCTACGTCTATGATTCCTATCACATACCTGTCTAGGTAGATGTTCGACAGGACTCTCAAAAGGGGCAGTATGAGAGATAGATAGCCCGATATCCTGATGGTCAAAGGGTCTAACTGCCATCAACATTTTCTGATTTAAGTATTGTAATGTTCCAAAAGTCTCTTCTCATATTGATGCAAAATCAGAATACGTATACTGAGTAGGATTGGCTAGATCAAGCAACCTATTACAGATCAAGTCAATTTGGGATACAGTATCAACCTATTAAAAGAAGAATTTATGTATTATAGTGATTTAGTTGGGATATTTTTTAAATATGACATATAGTTAGAAGGAATAAAAAATATGTTATAATTTACCAAATAGTCAAAATGTCTCCCATCTCCTCGATAGTCATCACGTGGGGGGTGCTCGAAACAAGAGGTGTAAAGTAGTGAGCTGTACGATTATAGTATCAATCATATATTCCTCCATGGATCATAATAATGGTTTCCAACATATGCTCCAGTATAACGTTCCCAGTATTCAACCCAACAATTATGATACTAGATGCAATCCTTCTTGACATGGCCTAATCAGTGTAGGGAATGTAATTTTTTGTCTGTGTCAATATCATCGGGTATGAGTTGACGCATTTTAAACTGTCATAGTACCTACTATGAAAAGTGAAATTCGACAACCTCTCAATATATCAATGGAACTACTGACCGCTAGATATGTCACTTGAAGGAGCAATAGGTGAAAAGATGTGTAATAAGGTCATCAAGATAAGGCTCCTAAATAAAATATGATAATAAGGAAGTGAAATTAGTAATGAAAGGACAATAAAAAATGACTCTATAATAACAACATTCATCAATAGAATATCTCATCAATACCTATCCTGGTAAACTAATTACAAAATGAGGATACAACATACGAGGACATTATTTCGTTGTACAACAGCCGATCCATTGACCGCCTCAAGGAAATTCATTTTCCTGTGCAGCTGGAACCAACATGGTGGGATGAATTGTGAGTATCTTTTCTCATGATCATAATTGTTATGAAAGAAAAAATTGTCCAAGGCATATAATTTAGGCATTTAAGTGAATTTAAAACGCTCCAAAATCTAAAAACTATCCCATTCTCACCTGTAAAAGTATATATGAGTTTGCAGTGCAACTTGTGAATGTATGTGATACTTGAGAGAGACAGAAGTATAAACACATAAGTGTGGCATAGCCCCCAATTGTATTGGCTCATACCTTCTATATCTCAGATGTAATCTAACCAATAGCAACTGACAATGTTGCCACATGTGTTAGCAAACAACTGTCCCCTAAATAAAATCAACATGTAGTATCAAAAACTTTTGGTGTAGCAAATTAATTCTTTTGGTGTAGCATGTGGATGAGACTTATACAAAAACTCTAATATGGATACAAGTTTCAATCTCTCACCCTTAAAGTGTTGGATCTTTGGCCCGAACTATAAAAGTTTTTGGATCAAATTCTTTGTTTGGGCCATAGATTGATTTTGATCGAGCAACGTGATTGATAATTCATCAACACGACAGCTCAATAACACCTCCACATCTTGTAAAATGACAATGGCCTCACCCATCGGAAGTTGAAATATGTGGATTTTTGCCTCCATCGCTCAGTAAGCACAATAGCCATGAACAAATTGAAAGTAACCTGGTAGTATGATCCCTAGAAGCCTACCTCACGAAGATGGTGCATTATATACGAGTTCAAATAATTGTGTACTAGATTTTAAAAAAATTCGTGTGATCTAATTCAAATCATTGTGTTTCACGATTGTGAGGCAGGTTATCACACAGATCTAGTACACAATGAAGTCATCAAGATTTGAACCCCACGTATCACATATACTATTGAGCACAAGTCATCATTGTGTACATGATCATTGTATTCAATAGAAGTTATTATCGTGTATACAAATCATTGACAGCCAGTCAGACGAATCTCGTACAATGATCCCTAGAAAAATCATTATGTACATAATCATTGTGTTCAATAGAAGTCATCATTATGTACAAGAATTATTCTGAAATCTAGTAGATAATGATTTGAACCCGCTATAGCACATTATTTTTGTGAGACCGGTTTCTAGGGATCGTAAAAGTAAACTGCTTTTAGTTTGATCATGACTTGATCGCCACGCTTACTGAGTGATGAAAGCAGGAGACCCACATATTTCATCTTTCGATGGATGAGACAACCATCATTTGATAAGACGTGGAGGTGTTACGGAGCCTTCGTATTAATGGGTTACTAGTCACGCTACTCTATCGAAAACGATCTATGGCTCAGAAGAAGAATTTGATCAAGGAACTTCTAGAGTTCAGACCGGAGATTTGGCATTTTAAGGATGAAAAGTTGAAACTTGTACCCATATTAAAGTTTTTGTACGAGACTCATCTAGATGATGCACCAAAAGAATTAGTCTGCCATCATTTTTTATGCTAGATATTGATCTTGTTTGAGGGATAGTTGTTTGCTGACACATACGGCAACGTTGTTAAATGTCATTGATTAAATTACATTTGAGACATAGAAAGTATGAACCAATACAGTTGGGACTATGTCACACTTGCATATTTATATTCCTGTCACTCCAAAGCATCGCATGCATCCACGAGTTGCATTGCAGGCCTATATATGCTTTTACAGGTGAGAATGGAACAATTTTGGGATTTTGGATAGTCTTAAATTCACTTGAATGCCTAATTTATATGCCTTGGATAATTTTTTTTCTTTCGAAATAGTTATGATCATGGGAAAAGATATTCACAATTCATCCTATCATGTTGGTTCTAATGGCATAGGAAAACGAATTTTCTAAAGGCGGTCGGTGGGTCGACAATCATATGACAAAATACATGCGCTCACATGTTATGTCTTCCTTTCGTGATCAATTTACCAAAATAGGCATTGATAAGATATTCTTTTGGTAAATGTTGTTATTGTAAAGCCATTCTTTATTTTTCTTTAATTACTAATTTCACTTCTTGATTGTCATATTTTATTTGGGACCCTTATTCTAATGACCTTATTGCACATTTTTTCGCTTATTGCTCTGTTGGGCGATACATCTAACGGTCAGTAGTTCCATTAATATATTAGAAGGTTATCGAATTTCACTTTTCATAGCAGATACTATGGCAATTTGGGATGCATCAATCCATACTAGACGATGTTGACACAAGGCAAAAATTGCATTCCCTATGCCGATTAGGCCGTTCTAGAAAGGATTGTACTCAATACCATAGTTGTTGGGTTAACAACTAATAGCGTCGTACTAGAGAATATGTTCGAGACCATCGTCATGATCCACGTAGGTCTATGAAGGAATACACGACATGGTACCATAATTATATAGTTCACTACATTACATCTCATATTTTACAGCGGCCCCAATGTGATAACCATTGAGAAGTTGGGGGACAATTTGACTAATTAGTAAATTATTACATATTTTCTCTTTTCTTCTAATTATATGTTATATTTGAAAAATATCCCAACTAAATCACTGTAATATATAAATTTTTTTAACAGATTGATACTGTGTTCCAAATTAGCTCTACCTACAATAGGTATCTCAATTTTGCCAATCCTACTCAATGTTCGCATCTCGATCTTACATCAACACTAGAGGAGGCTTTTGAGACATTACAATACTTAAATCAGAAAATGCAGATGGCAATTGGATTCTTTGACTGTCAGAATATCGGGCCATCTACCTCTCATGCTGTCCCTTTTGAGATATTTGTCAAACATCTACCTCGACAGGTGCGTGGTAGGAACTAGGGAGGTAGGTGTCGCAAGAGGGATGCCTCTTTATGTGATGATGATGTGCCTACTACACAGGCTATTCAGAGTTCAGTACATGCCGAATACAACCATGTCATTGTGACTCAATTGTTTCATTTTAGAGATTTCTCTACACCTCCATGTGTTCCTATCTTTGGAGATCATTTTCTCATGACATACCCTCATACCCTCATTTGACTATATGACAAGTGTTGAATTGCCCTCTATTATGTCACATACGTCATTTCAGCCCCATAATGAGTCCGGTGATGACTTTGCTCGTATCTACGACTTTCTAAGCTCTTCAATGGGCTTTTCACCTGTTTTTTTAAGTGGACACAAACATTGTTTCTCGTGATGCTCCTTCCATTACCACTACAGATCGTTCCTATTTCATATACAGTTAGACTCTCATGGTGGACACCTCAGATGATGATGAGGAGGAACAAATGCCTAAGAGATTGCAAGCACTACCTAGGAGGTTTGAACGGGTATAGCTATAGCAAGATTTACCACATAGGCGAATACATTTAAGATGTGGCTTCTCTATCAATCTGCACAATAAAGGGCAATGGGCACGTTGATAGGTAAAATTCAGACTTCAAGATTTTTTTCTTATCAGACCTCTTGTTTTAAATAATGACAATACTATTTTGTTTAATTATATTAGACATTTATCGATAGATGTTACAATATTTATCTTAACTTATATTATTTGTAAAACAAAAAATATTCAAAATAGGATATGACTTCAACATATTTCAATTTAAATTAATTTTTGTACTATAAAATGGAAACTAAATCTCGCTTCTAGCCATTCATTGATGATCAATCAATGGATATGATGGAAAAAATAGTAGATTTTAAAGGTAATTTTGTTTGAAGGCATAATCTAATCCTTGATAAATTAGGGTTTAGGGATTACTAATAACAAAAATTTAAATTTTTTTGAAAAATGTCGCTGCATTCAATTAAGATGCAGCGATCATAATTTTTTTAAAAAAATATTACTCTGTTGCATGCTATATGACATGCGACAAATCCTTTTTAAAAAAAAAAAAAGATTTCCCTCTTTAATTTTAGCAGCAGCGAAAAAATTAGAAATTAAATGAATATTTCATGATCGTTGCATTTGGCCCTAAGTTTAGCACAAAATCTCTAGGAACACCACTTTTAGGATGTGTTTTTGAATTTAATAATATTTTATGGAATTTGCCCTCAAAGTCCATGTCCTATTGCATTTCATCAAAACATGTTCATATACCTTCTATCCAACTTTTAAGCCATATTATGGACTAACTGATTTCTTATTCTTCTTCATTCTAATTATTTGTTTGGTCTTCTTTTCCGACTGTGGGATGCAGTGCTAAAACATAAATATTTTATCAAGTATGACAAAAAAAAAAAAAAGACTAGCAAGAAAGCATAAAACTGCAAGTTAAAAGCATAAATTTACTTGCTAGTTTGAAATTAATCCATTGGCCACCTAACCAATCGTGATGTAGCCTCAATTGGTCCAAGGGACAAAATAGTTTGATTGATTTCCCATTTATGATGCCTATCCATCACCCATCACTCGGAAATATACATCACCCAGGTCATACAAGTTTTTGGAATTACCCAAGTCATACAAGTTGAAACAACTTATCGGAACATGTGAAAGCAAAAGTCGGAGCTAATCAACACTGACAACCTCTTTTGATGGTTCAGATTCATCTTCTAGTAGGTCAACAGATTGAGTTTTTTTTTATTTCCTTTGTGGTTAGGGTGCAAAATTAGGGTTAGGGAAAGGAAAAATTGGGGAAAATGGAGGATCATGCCACATGGTCCTTTACTTACTTTTGTGGTCAATGATGGTTGACAAATACACCTGATTAACCCATTTTATATTAGGTTAAAATTTTATGTGGGTTGACAAATTTACCCTTTAAAAGTTGATCACGTGATGCTTTCGTGATTTATTCCAACCAAAATATGACTAAAAAGGTGATGAAGAATAAAAATTAGCATTTTTACTTATGAGGGACTAAAATGAATCATTTTCATTTTGAAGGGCTAAAATTTCATATCAACTATATATGGGGGACTATTAGCGTAATTTTTCTATATAGGAAATACTCATTGGTTGGGAACCCACCAGACGCTACCTTCCTAAAGCTAAACGCAGGTGGCTTCTCGAAAGGTAAACCTAGAACAGCAAGTGCTGGTGGTGTGTTTCGTGATCATATGGGTACTTGGATACTTACTTTGGTAATTTGGTTACAGCAGGTGCACAGGAAGCACAACCAACAGCGTGGCTAAGGCTTGGACGATTAGAGAGGGATTTCACGTTGCAATTCAACAAAAAATTTTCACCCATATTATTGTTGAATCTGACTCTAAAGTCATTATTGATATAATTAATAGGGATGATGTTGACAATCACTTACTTTCTCCCCCATTTTATCAGATCGCAGAGAACTTGTCCAACAGATTTTACGAGTTTTTTTTTAAAGAGTTTGAATGGGTTCGGTTCCAATCACTATTACGAATCAGGGGATGACTCTGGGATCATAAGTGATTCTACGAGTCAAGTTTAAGCATATCCTCAAAGAATCAAATATATGCGCGATCGATCAGTGGGCTAAACTGGGAACTCAGCAAGAAAAGGATTTTGTATTGCATCTGCTCCCTCCTCCTCTCGTAAGCAGTATCTTATATATATATTTATGACATTAGAGGAGTTAAGTTTCTTAGGATGGTTGTAGAAGATCTATGTTAATTTAATTTAAGGTCTTTTTTCTTCCGTAAAAAAAATAAAAATAAAAGCTTTTTAATAGGAAGATATATCACTTGGAAAGTATAAAAGGCTACATAACATGCATTAAGCAGAATTGCTTATAACTAACATACTAGTGAGATTTTGAAAATTTCTTGAAGTTTCCTTAAAAATAAAAAATGTCTATGCTATCTTTAATAGAAACTCTCTTAAATGAAACATTTTGTGGGAATGTTTGACTGCAATGATCTAGTATCATTTTACCAGTTAGTTATGCTTTACTTGAATTTTTTTTAAAAGCACTTCTTGTGCTCAGCTTGAATTCTAGCCCTTTTTTTTTTTTTTCACAGCAATTCAGATTACCATTATAGACTAAACTCTGATTTTCAAACCTAATTTCCAAATATGCTGTACTTAATAGATATCTTCTCTAGTTAGTGCAAATAAATTTGATTTTCATACTTAGCAATGCATTATACATACAAGAAGAAGAGGAAAAGAACCCTTGTTTGGACAGTCATTTTCCAAAGAAAAATTGCTACGTTTTCCGTGAACACATTTTCCAATCACCCTTTTACCTCACATATATTAAATCGCTACAGTAATTTTTCTACAAAAAATCTAGAAAAATGCAATCCAAACACAAAACTTTTGCGTTGGATCTAGTTGCTCGGACTTGGCTTGTAACTTGCATAACTTTTGGGTTGGATTAGGTCTTGAGACAAAACCATACAGTCTGGACAGATATGAAAATAATGAAATGAAGATGGGAGCAACCAAAATGATGAAAGATGTTGTGGTTTATGACTCCACAAAGCAATGTCGTCCTTGCAGAAAGTAAAGATACACAACCAAGTTTTATAACTTGATCGATAAAAAAAACCAACAGCAAGCAATGTACATGTATCTGGTCATTGCTACCATTGTCATGGATATCAAGAAACTGAAGGATGATTTTGATGAACGTCGCTTTTCCTTCGCTAGGAGGGAGAACAACTATGTCAGTCATAAGTTGGCAAAATTTGCTATGAACTTGAAAGGATGTTTGCTGAATAGAAGTGTGACTCCCCAGTCTGGCTGCTTGAAAGTGCTCACGCAGATTTTAGGAGAGCAGTAGCTCTAATATTGTAATCCTTATTTCAGTAATGAAATGTTGTCATTTTGGAGGGGGAAAAAAGAAGCAATGTACATGTACCTGGTGGCAAAACGTGTATCAATTTTCTGGCTTGTTCGAGCCTTGACTTCTCACGAGATCTTCTACAGTCAAACAAAACAATTATTTTTCTTTGTTTATTAGTATTTTTTTGTCCTCAAAGCCCATCTTAATTGGTAAGAATATTAGTTATATGATAATGAGATGCTGATTCGACTCTCAAACTCTTCCCTTTTTCTCTTCCCTTTATAATGCTTGTACTCTTCTCTAAAACCAAAAAAAAAAAAAAAAAATTCAAGTAGTATTTTTTTTTTCTTTTTTTCCCATTTTTTGTGCTCGCATGTTTATTTTTAATTTCATTTTTTTGGGGTGCGCGTACAAGGGAAATTAGAAACCCTATAAGTTCGATCTAGCTGCTCGAACTCGACTCTTAAGTTCACGTGATCTATCTGCTTGGACTGGGATTGAAACTCACATAAACAATTAGGGTTGAGTTTGTACTCAAGATTGATTGTAAGTCGTAACTTCAGCTTCAAATTACTATGATCTGGATTTTGGATAGAAGTCTGACAAGCAAGATTCATATGCATGGTGTCTAGCTACAAATGATGGAAGTTAAAAGGTAAGCATCACCGAATTGAAAACGAAGTAAATTTTCATTACAACTTACAAGCAAGCCGTCGTAGCCTTGATAGGTAACTGTAGTAGAATTTCCGGAAAGAATATTATTGATTAAAGAAAAAAAAAAAAAGAGAAGAGAAAGAAACGATGAGTAATAAAGAAGGGAACACGAATCCATATCTCCAAAATTATGCTTGTGATATAATCAAACACGTTTCACCTAATGAGTCATGCTTGCATATTGTTGCACCGGCCTTTGCTTTTGCTTTCTGCGGTAGAAATGAGGTCTAATCAATTCTAAATTGAGTCAGGCCGAAAGATCAGCCCATTAGTTGCCTAACTAAAGAAATGATGGAATTGCTGCACTTGCCCACCAAAAGCTCCACTCTAACTACTCCAATAGGATTTTGACAAAAAAAAAATCCAATAGGAGGGTTTTTTTTTTTGTTTTGAAACTAAATTTCATTTCATCTGATTAATGGGGAAATAGAACTACAGATTGTTCCAATAATCAATTGAATAGTTTATTGAAGGTATTTACCTGTTTTCTGAAAATTAGTTTCTTAGACATTATATAGTTTATGTGTGTTTTTGGATTGTAAATTATTTGGGATAATTTTGTGAAAAGGTACTGTAGTACTTTTTTGATATGATATATGTGAGATAAAAAGAAGATTGGAAAATGTGTTGATGGTTCAAGCAAATCAGTATGTGCAAATAAGGTGTAAATAAAATGAAATAATTGACAATCCAAACATCGTTGGCTCTATTTTCACAAATGGCAATACCATATATATATATATATATAGGGGAAACAAAGGTGGCGATTGCTTTTTCAGAAATAAATACTTTAAAAAAAAAAGAAAAATTTGGAGTAAGTAAGGGTCAAAAGAAATATATGAATTTAGTAATATTTTCAAAAATTAGAGATCTTGGGTCCAATTTCTTCTCTTTTTTTTCCTCTTTATTTCTTAAATCTCTCCCTTCTTTAGTAAAGATAATAAATAAATAAAATAAATTAGTAGTCGTCAATAATAATAATAATAATAATCCTTCCGAGAAAAAGACAATCTTTATTATTGATTAAGAGAAAAAAAAGGAGAAAAGGAGGGAAGGGACACGAGTGAAAATGATTAAAAAAGCATTTTTTTTTCTATTAAAAACTAACTCAACGCCGACAAAATTTGGAATCATTGTACTCTCATTGTACCAATTACAACTCTTGCTATAAATGAAGGGTCAAAAGCTATATATACGAATTTACCCTTCTCTTCTTCTTTTTTTAGTAAAGATAATAAATAAATAAAACGAATTCAGTAATCAGTAGTAGTCAAATAATTAAAAAATAATAATCCTTCAAAAATAATTAATAATAAAAAAAGGGACACCGCTCAAAAATGATTTTTTTTTTTTTTTAAAAAAAGCGCTATTTTATTTGAAACCTGTAGCAATTGCGACTCTTGCCGGACCAAGCAAGAATAAAGGGGACGTGTAAAGCTTGAGAGAAAGGCGCCAAGCAGAACGAGAAGAAGAAGGTGACGACGAAAGAATTCCGCCCTTTCCTCAACCACTATATATATTATGCTCCTGGCCCTATCTTCAGTCTCCAGTATTCAACCACGTTGTTTTCTAATAGAAATAATATATACTACTAGCGGTATTATTTTGCAGGTCCAGCAGTATAAATTAGGTGGAGTAGGTGTTTTCTCTCGATTGAACTGCTACTACTGCTACTGGTAGGTGGATAGATTTTGATGGTTTGTTGTTGATTTAAAGTAGTAGCAGCAGTAGCAGTAGAAATCAAAAATTTTTGTTTGATTTTAGAAAAAAAAGCGATAAAAACTGCAACCTATCGTTCTTTCTTTGTTTGGGCCAAATTCTATGCTTTGTGATAATCAATGGCTGATTTTGAGCCATTACTGTTGCGGAGACGCGACGCCGATGCTGCGGTTGCCGTCGCCGTTGCCGATCTTGGAGAAGACAAGCAAGACGTCGTTGAAGCCGCCAAGGATAACAAAATCACTCCTCCTAGACCTAGAGTCGCTTCCCTTGACGTCTTTCGCGGACTCTCTGTTTTTGTAAGCATCTTCACTCCCAAGCAGTTTCCGTTTTTCCCATCTTACTTTTGCATTATGACTCCATTTGATTACTTCACTACTATACCACCAGTATTCTCTTTTTTTTTTTGTATTTTTGATTTTTTTTCTCTTTACTAGAATTACTCTGTTAACAAAATATTGCCTAATTTTCATTTCTTATTGGTCAAACCGCTATAATTTCACGAGCTTTTAACTATAGCTAATTAATACTACTACTGCTAACTAATACAACATGCTTTAAAATTTTTTTCTTTTTTTTTTCCTTCTCGTTTTCTTATGCAGTGTTGTTTATGCGATAAGCATTAATGGCCTAAAAATTGTTTGTGTAATTGGCATTTATGACCTTATAGCACCTTTTTTTTTTTTTGGCACCCTTAATGTTGTTTTTGCTTCTATTTGTCTTATGCTAATTGCTGTAGTTTTTGCTGCATGGCTTTAGGGAAAAAAACGAACATTTTACTAATTTTTTGTACCTAATCTGTACTTAAAATGTTTATTTAATCCAAAAGAGTACGTGTTTTCTTGTAAATTAGCGCATTTCCATGAAAGCCATAGAGCTCTGTGTGTCAGTTAATTTTATTGCCTATATTTGTTTGCATGTTTCTGCTGTTTTCCAGTTGGCAATTATTTTTTTTGCTTACGCAGCTTATGATGCTTGTGGATTATGCTGGCTCCATTTTCCCCATTATAGCTCATTCACCTTGGAATGGTCTACACTTGGCAGATTTTGTGATGCCTTTCTTCCTTTTTGTTGCTGGAGTTTCCCTGGCAATTGTATACAAGGTATACACTTTGTCGCAAAAGAGGTCCAAATTCTACATTGATGGAGTGTATAATTGTTTAAGCATCATGACTGAGGCACAAATCATTGACTTTCACTAAAAATTGATTGCATATTCAAAAAGAGGATTTGCTGTACTTGATGTTCCATTAGAAATTGACCAGTTTTATAGTCCCACATAATTGCATCTAATTGGGCTTGCTGCTTTTTGGCTTCATAATTTTAGAAAGTCCCAGACAGAATACAAGCTTCATGGAAGGTAGTTTTAAGGGCATTGAAGCTCTTCTTCCTTGGCATTCTTCTTCAAGGTAATGCTCAAACAATTCCCACCTGTTAGCCCTTAATTTCTTTTATATGTTTTATCCCATGTTCAAATTGGTGCAAGCTTCAATTCCTTGTGCAAACTTAAAGTGCCATCCTCACTTATCAGGAAAGTTTTCGCTATTATTAGAATGCATAAAAACCAAGTATTTGAAACTTTTTAAGAGGATTAGTATTCAGTTTATTGGCAAGTCAAGAATCAGGCTTTTATTTGCATTCCATATGGTTGACAGCTGGTTTACTATATTATGGTGAATTTGGGGTCATCTGAATTTTGAAATGCTTACATTGCTACTTGGCATCCAGTGTGAAATTGTCTGCTAGAGTGAAACATCACGTTCTTCTTTATCTACTCTGTTTCTTGCAACCTTGTTTCTTATGTGGCTTAATACCCTGTAATTTGGTAATACTTGCTACTTACATTAAAATTTTTTACTCAAACTAAGGAACAAAAGAGGACAACAATGTGGGCCGTGTGTGAGCTGTTCTTCTTGGTACTATGCTACTTCAGTAAAACCGTCTGCAATCAAATTAAGAAACGAAAGAGGATGCTGTAAATTATTTTTAAGCCTTCTTGGTAATTGGAGCCTACTGATCAACAAAATCTGATATTCACCTTGTTCTGCTGAAAATCATATCTTTAGGTCAGAATGAGGTATATACAGATATCCGAAGAACATAAAAGTGACGTACTTTTGAAAGCCGATGTTTATTCTCCCATGTCAAAGTCTTGGGATCTTTCTTCTTCATATCTTGTTTGTGCTCTTTAATGCTGGAAGTTCGTAAGAAGGAAAAAAAACAAGTTTTGCATGCTGTTGCTGCTAGAAGATTTCACGTTTTTATAGGTTAGTAACTAATATGGCACTGCTTTGTGTGTATTAGGCGGTTACTTGCATGGAGTAACTTCAATGACATATGGCGTGGACATTGAAAGACTACGAATTCTTGGAATTTTGCAGGTGCCATTTTACTTTCACAGTATTTGGAATTTTGTAGGTGCCATTTTACCTGCACAGTATTTTATTCCTTGCTATTGATTACAACAAAATGACTACACTAGCCTTTTCAAATTAATCATACACAATTCTAGTGGTGATTGGTGTATCCTAAGAGTCATTAAACCACCAGACTATAGCTCTATATTCTACTCTTCTCCCTCGCACCAATGTTCCTCTTACCCCTTGTGAAAAAGTATAGGAAACCATGATTGGGGCAAGCAAGGTAAGGTAGCATGACTTCTCATTTTCATTCTATGATGGAAGTATGTTTATCCAGCATTCGCTATCTGATTGAGTCCTGGAACAAAAGAGTTCTTGTTGCAGCTCAATACTTTTTATTTGTTTGTTTATTTATTTATTTTTTTTTTTTTGGCAAATTTTTCATGTACCATCTTGAGGAAAAGTTTATAACCAATTTTGACCAGTGCAGAGGATAGCTATTGGATACCTTGTAGCAGCTTTGTGTGAGATTTGGCTTCCACGTCGAAGGTGGAGGAAGGAAGGTTTCCCAGGGAATTATCTTTGTCACTGGTAAGGTTTTTTTTCCCCTCTTTTTCTTTTTCTTTTTTCTCCCTCTTGTTATTCCCTTTCATAGTCTAAAGTTATGAATTAAACTCATTATATGGTACGTTCTCGAAACAAAGAACTCTGCTCACGGGATTTCATTAGAAAGGGGTTTCATGATAAAATCTTCAAATAGAAGTTGTTAACTTGGTTGCAGAATTGCTCAAAAGAAAAAAAAAAAGCCTTTGTTGCAGAGACTTCTTTTGATGTATAAAATGTTTAAACTTTTGAAATACTTTAGCATGGTAATAAAGGAGCTATTGCACCCTTGTAAACATTGCAAGTTGCTAAATTATGCAAATTTGATAGTCCAATCATAGATTAAGTATATTCATAACGGAAATAAATCCCTATTTAACTAAAATTA